TCTCTCTCTCTCTCTCTCTCGTCTTGTCTGTCTGTCTCCCCCGAAAGGACTCATGGGTATCGTTTGCCTACATTTCATAGAAGGCTTCCTCTTCTTCTCCAGAACGACACAAGTTCTGATTTATTTATCAACTTCTTCATTACGCCACAATAATAAAATGATAATCATGGATTTTTTTCTTTTGTGTTTCTTGCAGAAATCAAGGAGATTGCGTGCAACGACACAGACTGCCCAGCAGTCTACGAGCAACATCTCTGTCCATCAGACTCTTATCTCGTCATCACCGATCTCCGGAACCGCGACTTCGAAGACGCCGCTCAACTCTTTGACCTCGTTTACGACGACGACGACGACGACAACAACAGCAACGGCGATGTCCACGGCAGCGACAACAACAACAATAAAAATCGGGACTTTTACGATAATAATGACAGCGTCGCCCCAAGAGACAGCGAAAAGGATAACAGCAGGAAGTCGAGGGATTACTTAGAGAACGACAGTCTTTTGCTTCTCAACAGTAAAGACAACAGCAATACTGCTGCTGCTGCTGATGCTGCGGCTACTACTGTTGCTGCTGGCACTTCCGCCGACATTGTTGACGACAACTACAGCGACGAGGAAGCGGATGATAACGTCGATAATGACGACGAGCTTGAGTTGTTGGACGCTGAGCCGACGTCGTATTGCGTGTGTAACGTCAGCAAGTGCGAGGTGCCCACCTGTGCCGCCGGATACACGAGACAGTTGGTCAAGAACGGCACGAGGATGCCTGGCTCGTGTTGTGACGTATACCAGTGCTGGAAACCCATGGGTACGTTGTGTGTTTTTTTTAAAGTTTTAGTATAGTAGAGGTTTTACGATGCTCGCAACTGCATAAGGTTATAATATGAGCGCCAGAAGATTAGAGGTGTTACACAAGAGAGTAACAAACATAAAAAAGAAGAAGGGGAGATAAGGACGATATATGTTTCATAGGAAAGAAGAAGCAAACTACACCAAGGCACCCTCCAACCACCCACCATCGTGTGTTTATTGTTGTCTGCGTTTGTGGGTGGCTGGCGGATGTTGTGGTGTGGTTTGCTTATCTTCTTTCCAATCAAACGTCTTTCGCATTTATCCCTCCTTCTTTTCTTTATAATATGTTACTCTTTAGTAATACCTCGAATCTTCGGCACTTGTATAACCTATTTGTTTCTTTCGGATAAGGGACAAAAATACGTGTTTTCTGTTTTGCCTTGCTGTCGGCATCTTTTCGTGTTTTGTCTAAAGCGTTGTTTTGTTATCTTTGTATTTAGTTTGGTTATTTGGTTGTTTAATAGATATATTTATTTTTT